TCAGTACTGAGGGAGCGCCGCACTGTCGGAGGGTCAGTACTGAGGGAATGCCGCACTGTCGGAGGGTCAGTACTGAGGGAGTGCCGCACTGTCAGAGGTTAGTACTCAGGGAGCGCCGCACTCTTGAATGGTCAGTCTTTCAAACAGGAAATGAAATGTCAAAAGTCTAGCATGTAAACACAGTAAGTATCCAGGAAAACCCCTAAAAGTTACTGAGGGACTGTGACCGGATGGATGTGGAAAGGATGTTTCCTCTTGAGGGAGAATCTGGAACCAGGTCTCTGTCCAAAAATTAGGGACTGCCCGTTTAAAACAGAGATGAGGCCATATTTAACCTCCCAGAGAATCTTAGGCATTCTCTTCCACAAATGGCATTGGGAATGGAGTATTTGAATATTTTTTAAGGCAGAGACAGATAGGTTCTTGATGATCAAGGGTCTGAAAGATTACTGGGAGAAGGCAGGACTGTGGAGTAATCAGGTCCATCAGAATCTTACTGAATGCTAGAACAGGCTCAAGGGGCTGACTGGCCTCTTCCTGTTTCTAATCCATATGTTTGTCTTCTCAGCTGGGCCCCTCCGCCACCTTTTGTAACAGCGAGACCACCCCAAGTGCCCTGGGTCCTTCCCCCTCCCGCCTAAAAAATCATTAGACATGGACTCTATGGTCATTATCACATTGTTCTTTTTCGTAGGAGCTTGCTGTGCTCAATTCATTTACTTCTTGCATTGCAACAAGGAGAACACTTTCAAAACATGCCTTCACTCTCTGTGGAGGAGTCTCAAACACCCTCAGCTTGTGAACGGCATAAGAGAAACACAAATTTATTTTCTTCCATAAACAAAATCTGAATTGTTTCGCACAACTGATTAAATACCAGACCCTGCAAGCCCAAGCAAAATTAGAAACATAGGAAAAGGAGTAGGCCATTCAGCCCCTTGAGTCTGTTCCACCACTTAGTGAGCTCAGGGGCTGATCTGTGGCCTAACTCCATCTACCTGCCTTTGGCCCATATCCCAGAACACCGTTGCTGAACAAAACTGAATCTCTCTCAGATTTCAAACTAACATCTGATCCAGCATCCACTACCATTTGTGGAAGAGAGTTCCAAACCTCTCCCACCTTTTGTGTGTAGAAGTGCTTCCTAACATCTCTCCTGAATAGTCTGGCCCTCATTCTTAGGCTATGCCAATAGTTAGAGTCATGGGGATGTACAGCATGGAAACAGACCCTTCGGTCCAACTCGTCCATGCTGACTAGATATCCTAAAGTAATCTAGCCCCGTTTGCCAGCATTTGGCCCATATCCCTCTAAACCCTTCCTATTCATTTACCCATCCAGATGCCTTTTAAATGTTGTAATTGTACCAACCTCCACCACTTCCTCTGGCAGCTCATTCCATACACGCACCACCCTCTGCGTGAAACAGTTGCCCCTTAGGTCCCTTTTAAATCTTTCCACTCTCATCTGAAACCTATGCCCCTCTAGTTTTGGACTCCCCCTACCCTGGGGAAAAGACCTTGGCTATTCACCCTATCCATGCCCCTCATGATTTGATAAACCTCTATAAGGTCACCCCTCATCCTTCCATGCTCCAGAGAAAATAGCACCACCCTATTCAGCCCCTCCCTATAGCTCAAACCATCCAACCCTGGTAACATCCTAGTAAATTATCACTGAATCCCTACAGTGTGAAAACAAGCCATTCGGCCCAACAAGTCTACACCAACTCTCCAAAGAGCATCCCACCCAGACTCATCCCCCTGTCCTATAACTCTGCATTTCCCATGGCTAATCCACCTAACATGCACATCTTTTGGACTATGGGAGGAAACCCACGCAGACACTGTAGGGGAGAATGTGCAAACTCCACACAGGTAGTCGCTTGAGTGTGGAATCGAACCGGGTCCCTGGTGCTGCGAGGTAGCAGTGCTAACCACTGAGCCACTGTGCTCCAAATCTTTTCAAGTTTCACAGCCTCCTTTCTATAGCAGGGAGACCAGAATTGCACGCAGTATTCCAATAGTAGCCTAACCAATGTCCTGTACAGCTGCAACGTGACCTCCCAACTCCTATACTCAATGCAATGACCAATAAAGGCAAGTGTACCAAACCGCCCTGTCTACCTGTGACTCCAGTTTCAAGGAACAATGAACCTGAACTCCAAGGTCTCTTTGTTCAGCAACACTCCCCAGGACCCTATCATTAAGTGTACAAATCCTGCTCTGATTTGCTTTTCCAAAATGTAACACCTCACATTTATCTAAGTTAAACTCCATCTGCCACTCCTCAGCTCATTGGCCCATCTGATCAAGATCCCGTTGTACACTGAGGTAACTTTCTTCGGTGTCCGTTACACCTCCACTAGAATCGCCAACTACTGGAAATAGTTTATTTTTAATCTGCCTTTTCCTGTGAATATCTTGAAATATTTGAAATCTGTGCCATGCAGAATATTCAAGGCTGGTCATGTTACTTAGCCATTTCCTCGACCTCCCAAACCTGATCTTCCCTCATACTCCCCCAGTCTCACTGAGCTTACCACACGGCCTTACCTGGGTCAGGCTGACCGGCCATTCTGGTGAGCTGACCAATTGCTGCCGACACGCTGTTTAACTGCTGGTCACTGAGGTCTCGGAGATCAATGCCGTACTTTACCAGCTCTTTGGCTATCCTCTGGATGGCAACATCTGTGGGAACAGAACACACTGTAGTATCACACAGCGACGTGCTAATGGCAGCCTGCTCTGACACGCAACGTTTGTTGCTTTCAGTCTCACAGCAGACATGCGATATAACTTTAAGAGACACGGAAATATAGAAAACAGGAGCGGGAGTAGGCCATTCGGCCCCTCCAAGCCTGTTTCAGTATTCAATGTGACCATGGCTGGTCACCCAACTCAGTCCCTGTTCCTGCTTTCTCCCCCATGCCCTTTAATCCCTTTAGCTTTAAGAACTATATCCGACTCCTTCTTTTGGGTCAATACCTTAGCACCACCTTGCGAAGGGCCACTATTGGATAGGTAATAAATATACTTTATCCATTCATGGGATGAGGGTGTTGCTGACCAGGCAGCATTTATTGTCCATCCCTAATTACCCAGAGAGCAGTTAAGAGTCAACCACATTTGCTGTGGGTCTGGAGTTACATGTAGGCCAGACCAGGTAAGGATGGCAGCTTCCTTCCCTAAAGGACATTAGTGAACCAGATGGGTTGTTCCTGACAACCAATAATGGATTCCTGGTCATCATTAGATCCTTAATTCCAGATATTTATTCAATTCAAATTCCACCATCTGCCATGGCAGGATTCAAACCCAGGTCCCCAGAACATTATCTGGGTCTCTGGATTAACAGTCCAGCGATAATACCACTAGGCCATCATCTCCCCAAAGAACTATCAGGATGGTTCTTAACATTCAATTCTCCACCTGCAACCACCCCCCCACCAATTGAAGCTCATTTCCAATCCAGGAAGACTGTAGGGGTCATGGTAATGTCACTAAACAAATAAGTTAAAGGCCCAGGGCAACACGGTGGCTCAGTGGTTAGCACTGCTACCTCACAGCGCCAGGGACCCGGGTTCACTTCCACCCTTCGGCAACTATCTGTGTGAAGTTTGCGTGTTCTCCCCGTGTCTGTGTGGGTTTCCTCCCACAGTCCAAAAATGTGTAGGGTAGGTGGGTTGGCCATGGGAAATACAAGGCTACAGGGGTAAAGTAGAGAGGGGAGATGGGTCTGGTTGGGATTCTCTTGGAAAGGTCAGAGTGGACTTGATGGTCAAAATGGCCTGTGTCCACATTGTAGGGATTCTATGATTCTAATGCTCTGGGGATATGGATTCAAATCAACTGCTATTGCAAGTGGGGAGCCAAGGGCTCAGTGGTATTGTTGCTGGACTGTTAACCCAGAGACCCTGGCAATGTTCTGGGGTCATGGGTTCAAATCCCACCACAGCAAACAGTGGAATTTGAATTCAATAAAAATCTGGAATTAAGAGTCTGCCAGTCTGTCCTCATGACTTCCCTATTAGATAATTCTACTCCATCTCCTCCACATTCTCTCCAAGGCTTGGAAACCCTCCCTGAAGTGTGGAACCCCAAACTGAACCAATGCATTGACCGTCCCTAGTTGCCCCTGAGAAGGTGATGCTGAGCTGCATTCTCAAACCGCTACAGTAGGTTGACCCACAATGCTATTAGGGAGGGAATTCCAGAATTTTGACCCAGTGACAGTGAAGGAACGGCGATATATTTCCAAGTCAGGATGGTGTGTGGCTCGGAGGGGAACTTGCAGGTGGTGGGGTTCCCATGTATCTGGTTCATCTAATGTCCTTTATAGAGAGGGGAATTTGCCACCCTTAACTGGACTGGCCTATATGTGACTCCAGACCAACAGCAATGTGGTTGAGTCTCTCCTGCCCTCTGAAATGGTCCAGGGCAGTTGGGTCTGGCATTGTAGTTGACACCCACAATCCATGAAAGGATTCCCTTTTTGATTCAGAATTTTCCCAAAGTTTCACAACAGGCAGATGGAGTACAATGTGGGAAAGTGTGAGGTCATGCACTTTGGTAAGAAGAATAAAAGCATGGACTATTTTCTAAATGGGGAAAAAATGCAGAAGTCTGAAGTGCAAAGACACTTGGGAGTTCTAGTCCAGGATTCTCTCGAGGTAAACTTGCAGGTTGAGTCAGTAGTCAGGAAGGCAAATGCAATGTTGGCATTTATTTTGAGAGGACTTGAATATAAAAGGAGGGATGTACCACTGAGGCTTTATAAGGCTCTGGTCAGGCCACATTTGGAGTATTGCGTGCAGTTTTGGGCCCCATATCTCAGGAAGGATGTACTGGCCCTGGAGCGGGTTCAGAGGAGTTTCATGAGAATGGTCCCAGGAATGGAAGCTTAACATATGAGGAACGTTTGAGGACTCTGGGACTATACTCATTGGAGTTTAGAAGGGTGAGGGATGATCTAATTGAAACTTTCAGAATACTGAATGGCCTGGACAAAGTGGATGTTGGGAAGATGCTTCCATTTTGTAGGAGAGTCTACGACCCGAGGGCACAGCCTTAGAGTAAACAAAAGACCTTTTAGAACGGAGATAAGGAGAAACTTGTTCAGCCAGAGAGTGGTGAATCTATGGAATTCACCGCCACAGAAGGCTGTGAAGGCCAGGTCATTGAGTACATTTAAGACTGAGATAGATAGGTTCTTGATTATCAAGGGGATCAAGGGTTACGGGGAGAAAGCAGGAGAATGGGGTTGAGAAACTTATCAGCCATGATTGAATGGTGGAGCAGACTCGGTGGGCCAAATGGCCTCATTTCTGCTCCTATGTCTTATTATTTTATATTTTTTTCTTATAGAATCTGAACTGCTGCTCAGCATAGCACTTGCAGTGACATAACAAATCTCTTCTTACAGGACCAGCTGGAGGACACTCGGCCCCTCAGACTGTTCTTCCACTCAGTTCGGTCACAGCTGATCTGTATCTGTACTCTGCTCTCGCTCTGAAGAAGACTCATACCAGACTCGAAATGGTACTCCATCTCTCTCTCTCTCCACAGATGCTGCCAGACCCTCTGAGTTTCTCTGTTTTTGTTGCAGATCTTCAGCTCTGCAGTAGTTTGCTTTTATCTGAACTCCACTAATTAGCCAAGGTACTGTAATGTTGAAACATTATGCACCATGACCATGGCCCCTTGTAATCTTATACATCTCCACCAGGACCCCCTCAGCCTTCTGTGCTCCAAAGAAAACACCCCGAGCTTAATGCAGCCTCACCTCATCGCTGAAATTCTCCATCTCCAGGCACCAGCCTGGTGAATCCCCTCTGCACCCCCTCCATCTCAATCACATCCTCCCTATCGTGTGCTTAGGTCAAGCACTACCACTGGATGTACAATGTGGTTGAGTGGTCCTGTTTCTGTACGATCCCACGGGCGCTAGTGAAATGCAACTCCCTCTTTGCTCAGTTCCTGCACCTTTCTGAAGCCCACTCCCTACTCCGGGCCACCTGAACGGCCACTAACCTGTTGGTCAGTTCCCTGCTGCCATCTGCACACAGCTCAGGGTGTCAGCAAACCGTCCCCAGGCTCTGGGATCTGCTTTGCCATTTGGGTGATGGCAGAGGCAGAGGAGGGGCTGGTGCTGCAAATGCAGGACGGGGTTGAGAAAGGTGAGAGCCTGCACTCCCAGCTGGGCTTCCCGAAGCAGCCGGCTGTCTCTCTCTCTCCCTCCCTGACGTCACGGCTTCACATTTCCGAGACAGATTGCTATACCCGCCCCCTGAGAGCCACTACTCCTCTAACAATTACCCACTCAGCCACCAACTCGCGCCACGCACAATGACTCACTCAGATCACACCAGCTCCTCAAACAAGTTGCCTGGCTCAGCGCCAGCTCATAGAATCCCTACAGTGTGGAAACAGGCCCTTCGACCCAACAAGTCCACACCGACCCTCGCAGCATCCCACCCAGACTTACCCCCCTAATCTACACATCCCTGAACACTATGGGTAATTTAGCATGGTCAGTCCACCATAACCTGCACATCTTTGGACTGTAGGAGGAAACCAGAGCCCACGGAGGAAACCCACGCAGACACGGGGAGAACTCCACACAGTCACCCGAGGGTGGAATGGATCCCGGGTCCCTGGCGCTGTGAGGCAGCGGTGCTAACCACTGAGCCACTGTGCTACCCGCTGTGGGGAGAAAAATTCAGTTTGCTTCCCGCCCCCCACTTCCCCACAGCCAGTTTCAAGCAAATGTGTCAATTACCTCCTGAATCTGCATTTTCCTGGCAGTGTGTTCCAGACTACAACAACTGAGTAGAAAGGTTCTCTGCCAACCTCTGTGCCTTTTTGCAAAGTATCTTGAACCTGTATCTTTGGCCACTCCGCCACCTTCCACTGAGAACCACTCTCAGTTTTGCACCCCTCGATTCAATCTTCCCTTAACCTTCCCTGCTCAAAGGAGAGCGTGCCAGTCTCTCCAGTCTGTCCTCATGACTTCCCTATTAGATAATTCTACTCCATCTCCTCCACATTCTCTCCAAGGCTTGGAAACCCTTCCTGAAGTGTGGAACCCCAAACTGAACCAATGCATTGACCGTCCCTAGTTGCCCCTGAGAAGGTGATGCTGAGCTGCATTCTCAAACCGCTACAGTAGGTTGACCCACAATACTATTAGGGAGGGAATTCCAGGATTTTGACCCAGCGACAGTGAAGGAACGGCGATATATTTCCAAGTCAGGATGGTGTGTGGCTTGGAGGGGAACTTGCAGGGGGTGGTGTTCCCATGTATCTGCTGCCCTTGTCCTTCTAGATGGAAGTGGTCGTGGGTTTGGAAGGTGCTGTTTGAGGATCTTTTGGTGAATTACTCAAGGTGATTCTGAAGGTTGAAGACATTATACAAATTCAAGCGCTTTTATTATTTATTTACACAGTGAGAATTAGCAGAGCTCACACAGAAACAGGGCAAAAAAGGTATGGGGGTGTGGGTGAGGTCGGGGGAGTGGGATAGCACTTAGCCACAGAAGCAACCACCATTCACCATTTGGCAAGACCCCAGCCCCCAGTGGAAGAATACAGAAATGCTAACTTTGGGCAAAAAAGTGATGCCGTCGTAGTTGAGCAGCAGTGAACTGATGTTGCGAGGATTGGTGGAGAATCAGAATTGACGATTCGAGCGAGGAAATATTGGGAAGGAAAGGGGTCAAAGGTGTTGGGGAGGGTGGGGTTAGGGAGAATGAAATCCTGACGTTAATTTGGCGACATATTTGAAAGAACATTTGACGTACAATAGAGCTTAATATTGAGCAAAACAACAGAAGGTTCTGGAATGGCTCATTCTCAAGAAGTGCAAAACTTTGGTGTGACTGGTTTCAAACTTTTATTAATGAAAATCATTCAAAAGGATTTACATTTTCCCTTTAAACACAAAAGCTGTGTATAAGTCATTACATCAATGACACCGAGTAACTGCCTCAAACCGAGCAGGTTTTAAAAAAAGCTCTCTTGCTCACAGGAACAGCTACATACGTATCTCATGGAAGTTATTACGAATACAGTATAGAAAAAGCCATGAGCCCACACAAGATTAATTTTAGCTGCGAATGTGTGGGGGAGTATTTGTAGATGGCGTACATTTTTACAGAATCAATTGGTAACACACTCCAACAGAACAAATGTAAAGAACAAATTTGCATTTATGTCGTATAATATTATATTACGTTTAGGGGAGACAACAGCCAGTAATATTATTGCCAGGCTATTAGGTCACAGCAGATGGATTCAATAAATAATTGGAATTAAGAGTCTGATGATAACCATGAAATCATTGTTCATCGTCAGAAAAACCCACCTGGTTCACTAATGTCCTTTAGGGAAGGAAACTGCCATCCTCACCTGGACTGACCTACATGTGACTCCAGACCCACAGCAATGTGACTGACTGGGGACTTTCATTACAGATGGGCAATAAATGCTGGCCCACCCGGAATTGCCCATGTCTCATGAACGAATGGAAACAAAAAAGAAAGCTGCTTCCTATCCTCTGAAGAAGGGTCTAGACCCGAAATGTCAGCTTTCCTGCTCCTCTGATGCTGCTTGGCCTGCTGCGTTCATCCAGCTCTACACCTTGTTATCTCCTATCCTCTGAGGCTTTCTTGAAGTGTGGTCACTGCTGGTGTGTAGGCACCCTCCCAGCATCTACCCTGTCCAGTCCTGTTAGAATTTTACAAATCTCTCTGAGATCCCCCCTCATTCGTCTGAACTCCAGCGAAAACAATCCCAACCTAGTCAATCTCTCCTCATAAGTCAGCCCCGCCATCCCTGAAATCAGCCTGGTAAACCTTCACTGCATTGCCTCGAGAGCAAGAGCACCCTTCCTCAGAAAACTGCACACAATATTCCAAGGCCCTGTATAACTGCAATAACACATCCCTGCTCCTATACTCAAACAGACCCTTCGGCCCAACCCGTCCTTGCTGACCAGGTTCCCAATCTAAGCTAGTCAGATTTGTCTGTGTTTGGCCCATATCCATCTAAACCTTTCCTATTCATGTACCTGTCCAAATGTCTTTTATGTGTTGTAATTGTACCTTTTATTTTATTTTTTATTCATTCATGGGATGAGGGTGTCGCTGGCTCAGGCAGCATTTATTGTCCACCCCTAATTATCCTGCGTCCACCATTGCCTCTGGCAGCTCAGTGCACACACGAACCCCTCTCTGTGTGGAAAAAGTTGCCCATCTGGTCCATTTTGAATCTTTCCCCTCTCACCTTAAACCCATGCCCTCTAATTTTGGACTCCCCTACCCTGGGGAAAAGACCTTGGCTAATCATCTGGTGCCTCATGATTTTATAGACCTCTGTAAGGTCACCAACACCCCCCCCCCAACTTCCTATGATTTAATTTGATTTATTGTAGTCACATGTACCTAAGTACGGTGAAAATCTTTGTTTTGTGAGCAGTACAGGCAGATCATAGTAAGCAAGGACATACAGATCATAGAGTGCTTAGACAGAGCGAGGCATACGGGTTACACTGTACAGGAGATGCACAAAGCAAGATTAACGTTAGCAAGATCAGCATTATTTGAAGTTAGAGAGGTCCATTCAGCAGTCTAATAACAGCAGGGAAACTCCAGGGAAAAAATGTCCCAGCCTTTCCTGTCTCTCCTTATAGCTCAAACCCTCCAGTCCCAGTAACATCCCTGTAAATCTTTTCTGCACCCTCTCCAATTTAATAACATCCTTTGTACAACTGGGCGACCAGAACTGGTCACAGTACTCCAGAAGTGGCCTCACCAACATCCTGTACAACCACAACATGATGTCCCAACTCTGACCAATGAGACCAATGTAAAAATAATCAGGCAATCTGTTTTCAGTTATTGATTAAGGGATCAATATTAGAACATAGAACATAGAACATAGAACATAGAACATAGAACATTACAGCGCAGTACAGGCCCTTCGGCCCTCCATGTTGCGCTGACCTGTGAAACCAATCTGAAGCCCATCTAACCTAAACTATTCCATTATCATCCATATGTTTATCCAATGACCATTTAAATGCCCTTAAAGTGGGCGAATCTACTATTTTTGCAGGCAGGGCATTCCACGCCCTTACTACTCTCTGAGTAAAGAACCTACCTCTGACATCTGTCCTATATCTATCACCCCTCAATTTAAAGCTATGTCCCCTCGTACTAGCCATCACCATCCCAGGAAAAAGGCTCCCACTGTCCACCCTATCTAATCCTCTGATCATCTTGTATGTCTCTATCAAGTCACCTCTTAACCTTCTTCTCTCTAACGAAAACAGCCTCAAGACCCTCAGCCTTTCCTCATAAGACCTTCCCTCCATACCAGGCAACATCCTGGTAAATCTCCTCTGCACCCTTTCCAATGCTTCCACATCCTTCCTATAATGCGGTGACCAGAACTGTACGCAATACTCCAAGTGCGGCCGCACCAGAGTTTTGTACAGCTGCAACATGACCTCATGGCTCCGAAAC